CCTCTTCCCCACAGCCGATATATTGATTTTTGGGCTATCATTTTGCACTTACTCTGCGATCGTTGAGTTACTACTGCCACACGACTCCACTTGAACATCAATAATGGAAAGCTCAAGTGGGCTAGCTATTGATAACCGTCTTGCTAATACTTCCTAAAGTTCAGGGAAACTGATTGTTATGGAAAATCGATTATCGAAACACTTACCTTTCCTAATGTGTAGACTTCTTTTGTATTGGTGTAATGTGCGACTTTCCAATGGTCGCGTTCACATTCGGAATATAAAATATCACTAAAAACTTAGTTTTCTTTTGATTATTGGTTTGATGGAGAAAGAACTCACATTTCTTCAGCACCGGTCAATGGTTTGAGACAATGTATAGCTACCGCACTTACACAGGTAAGTTCACTGAACTCAATTTGCGTGAAAAAGCCAACATAAGGATCACCTATAATTTGTTTCGGAAAACAAAGAATGATGATTTGATAAAGCATAAAGTGATAGTATAACAAGCTTCAGGTGACGTCGGGACGGACAACAAATATGGGCATGGCGCAACAAAGTCAAACAATATTTTGCCCTATCTACTCCATCTCTTCGCCAATCATCTTTGTGCAAAACGGTTAAAAATATGAGAACACTCACGTCCATCAATCAATATCCGCTGATGGCCGGATTCCACCCGTAAGAAAGAGGCTAAGACATCTAAAATTTGATTCAATAAGGTTATTGGCTGATGAAAAAGTTAGGCAGAGAACTCACCTTGTAGAACTGAAGCAATCAAGAGTATACTTCTTGCATACATCGCATGTGTCACATTATTCTCATGAGATGATCAGCGTAGGCCTCTAGAGATCTTCTGCAAAATAAGTCTTCATGACGAAAGACTTCAAATAAATAAAGCGCTAATTTACGAATTAAGAATGAGTTAAACTGGCAATAAGAAAAAGTACTGGGAGTTAAAAGAACTGAATAAAGTTTCGGAAACTTTCTCCGGAAATAAGGGCTCGAAATGTCGGACAGATAGGATCAAATAGCGTTATTTCTGAGTCAAGATCTCTTCAAACTACGGATGTGCTTGGCAAGGAGAACTAAACCTTTTCGTAGACCTACTTCAAAGGGTTCCTAAATCACTTTTACTTCACGGCTTTTAACGAGACCTGCAAAAAATGCGAACGACAGCTGATTCTGAGTTCTTTTACCCCTGAAATATTTGTTTGGTTTCCAGACT